TACGTTCCCCTAAATTTTCAGCTCCTAGCTTTTGTGATTCCCGAGTTGAAAGTTGCGGACAAGTTGCTGCGGACACACACACCCACACAAACACGCACACAGACAACCCCGTAACAATATGTGTTTTGTACTGCTGTTACACAGCACAAAACGCATAAAAAATAATAGTAAAAACCGGTTATGCCAGTTGAAAAATAAAAAATAATAAAAAATAATAATATGGTGTATCAGTGAAGAAAGTAGAAATGAATAAATATTACGAAATAATGATAATATCCCGGAAAGGAATGAATAGACGAAAAGACGTCGAAATGAGGAAGTGAAATAGATAGTGAAACGCATATTTTTTTTATAAAAAGTTGAGAAGATGTAAGGAGTATCTGTAGGGAAGCTGAATGTGAACTTCGCTGTCTGTGTTTCATCCCTAAGCTGCAAACACCGACAGTATGCGGTGGAATGTTTTGGTCTATTAAGTCGTGTACATCCCTTCTCAGCACCACAACTGCACCCCAATTCACGCTTCCTGTCTAACTCACATTGGAATGTTTATCTTCAGACAGCTCTTCTACGATGGTCATCAGCAGTTGGCGCTGAATTTAGCATCAGCAATAGGTTGCTCAGCACAACCACCCCCACCCTCCGACAAGCTTTTCCGTCTGGTCTCAATGGCTAAGCAATTTGTGGAGGAACCCGAAACCAAGGATAAGGACAATGTTATACAGGTATTTTACTTGAATTTAGCGAATAGCAGCACTCTTGTGCTACATTTTCAGTGAAACAGTCAGTTTTTTTGCGATTTTTAGTCCTAATTTTTTTTTTTGTGGTTTTTTTTTGACCCAGAAAGTCGCCAACAGCCTGCATTTTAAACCTACCTCGTAAAAGAGTACCATCGAAAGTGTTTTGAAAGTTTTTTGAAAAAAGGTAAACTATGAAAGTTTGTTTGGCACTGTGGCCTTGCCCAGTGGTATTGCTTCGACCGCCTTCGTATTCCATTATTTTGTTCCGGGAAAATTAAAATTTTTAAGGGAATTTTCGCTTTAACTCTATTTTTCTGCTGATTACGCATTGTATGGCTGTTTCCATGTGTGACTATCGTGAATCTGAATGTTACGCAAAGGATTTTCCATGGATACAAAAATGGGATGGGCAGAGATTGGGATAGCTAAGCTCGTTTATAAGCACCATCTTGTTTTGCTTCGTGTTTGATAAGACAGATTTTGGAAGTTATTTTACTGATAAAGCTAGGAGTAATAGTTCTGTCGTTGTTATTATTATCATTGTTGTTATCATTATTATTATTATCATTACTGTTATCATTATCATTATTATTGTTATCATTATCACCATTACCATTATCATCATTATTATTCTTATCTTTATTTTTTTTTATTATTACTACTGTTACTATTACTTTCTTCTTCACTGCCGCCATTGTTATTATTGTCATTATTATTATTATTATTGTTATTGTTATTGTTATTGTTATTATTATTATTATTATCTTTATTACTGTCATATTGATTTTATCACATTCTCTAGTTCTTGATTTCTGCTCATCTCTGCTCCATACAATATCATCTTTCACATTTTCTTTAGAGACGCATTTTTTGGAATTTTTTAATGCATTGTTTGACTGTCTATAAAACCGGGAAAATAAAGTCAAAGTTTTTAGATCTCTCGTTTCTGAGGGTTAGAAACAAGCATATGTTTTTGTTTATCCTCTCTTAGAACACATCACAGGCTTTCAGGATAGATATTCACATTCTTTTTCATGCGTAGATTTTCCCATTCTATTTCTTGTTGGCATGCGCAACATTGGAAATGTTATCGGAGAACCCGACTCACTACCATTTGTTCACACACGTCATTCGTCACTGCAGCTGCCTCCTTCTCCTTTTTTTACCTTTTTACGTATTTCTTACCTCGTTTTGCACCACATATTTTCCTTGTTTGACTATTACTTTGATTTCTTCTACTTCACATCTTTTTATCTTAACTAATTTATATACCTTACTAAATTACTGTGTTACCACAATCGTCGTACTGACGAGGTCCAATTGTTGTAACGGCAAGAAATGTATACGACTTAATGAACCGAAACATTTCTTACCTATTACAAATATTTCTTTATACCCTTTACTTATTGTAATATCCTTTTCCTTTCTTCTTTGTTTCCTTTGCCTCCTGATATTTCCCTTTTTTTACCTTTAATAGTGGTGTGCTTTTGCAGGTTGATATCAGTTCCGGTCTGGACTTGGAATTCGACGCCGACATTGAGCCAACTTCGCCGGAGCCGAGCATGTACGAAACGATCTATTTAACAGCCCATAAATCAGCCTGTCGCGCATCCGCCTTCAATTCTGATGGTACCATTTTTAATTTTATGGGCATTTTCCGTTATTTGAGTGATATATTATTTTAATAAGTAAATGTAAAAATTTTAAAGATATAAACAATGAATATTCCTGGCAAAGAGACTGGAAGAGAACGGAGGCCTGAAATCTTCTATGTGTTAACATATGCAGTTTGTTTGGCGTTATTGGCGCTACACCGTGGAGAGGAACACAATCGAATTTTGATAATTAATGGAAACACTGGAAGTAGTACCATTTAGATCTCCCAAATAAGCAAGCCTGTATATGCAGCGACTTGGTAAACTGTCTTTGTTTCATCCCTGAGCTGTAAACACAGACGGCAAAATCGGTGTGGAATAGGATGGAAATAAGTTACTATACACGTAAGGATTACAAGCGGCAGCAGCTCCAAGCTGCCGCCGCACACATTTAGCCTAGCGCCAAAGAACAGTAATTACACACTCAACATTTCATTTCCAATTATCACATTAAATATCACGGAGGGGGGAACTCGAGCCAAGAGACGCCGTAACTTTTTCACTACATCTCTGCCTCAATATTTCTGCCTGAATCGATTGTGCCTTTCATTCCTTTTCGCTTTTTAAAAGTTTGGGGATGTTTTTTGAGTGAGAATCAAGAAAAGGCAGATGCGATTCAGTTTTGTGAGTTTTGTTAGCCCGGTTGGGATTTGTATAACCTTCTAGTAAGTTTCACGGCTCCCCTTCTCCACGGTTCTTTTTGATTCGATCATCAAACATCAGACATCAGGTGGACGGGCGTCCATCATTTTTTCCCATATCATCTCCTTTTCGTTCTTTTTTTTTTATCTCGATAAATCTTACCATTTTTTTGCTTCTAGATATAAGCTCATCTTTTTTCGGCGAAGTATCAGTCAGCGGCCAAATATTGTTGTTTTAGGTACACTACTGGCAACAGGATCAGCGGACTGCTCAATCAAAATAATGGATGTGGAAAGGATCATTGCTCGAGAAGTCAGGTCTGTTATTATCGTAAAATCAGGATCAGCAACATGATCAACCAGATGGCACTCAAATCATGATGCCTTGTCTCGGAGTGCCTTGCCTACTACCGTTGCACTTCTCGTGCAAGCTTGCTTGGTAAAAATCATTGTCAGCTCTGTGTAACACGCGGAGGACAGATGGATGCCTGCGCGGCTGGAAGGCTGCTCCTGGGGGGGATGCACAAAAAGTACTCACCCAAACCAACAAATAGTGCTTTATTTGAAAAAACACGCACACAAATAGAAGAAAACCAGGAAGCGCAGAAGATTCGACAGCAGCTCCAAGCTACACTGCCGCACGGCACGCACAATACGACTTAATGGACCGAAACATTTCTTACCTATAACAAATATTTCTTTAGGCCCTTTTCCCATTTTATTATCCTTTTCCTCCTTTTCGTTGTTCCCTTCTTCTCCTGATATTTTCTTTTCAACATTTAATATGGGGGCGGGGAGAGAGGAGCAGCAGCAGCTCCAATCTGCGCCACACAATAATCTGGCACCACAAAACAACACTCATTTCATTTCTAATCACATCATTATATATCATGGAGGTAGGAAGGAGGAGCTCGAGACATGAGACGGGACATTTGCATATCACATGGAATCGAAGGGGCAACTGGGCAAGGCGAAGATTTCAGTGGCCAACTTGATTCCTTGCTTATACCAGCACCTTCTTCCTTTTGCAACACTGCGCAGAATGTGTATAATGGTTCTAGTGTTGCATAATGAATAATGAATTAAAAAAGTTGATGCAGTTGTGCTACAAAATGCCGAGGGCGTTGCGCTCTCCAAGCGATAGCCTTAGCTAAATTGTAATTTTAATTTTAGATGATGTGTATTTATGTAAAAAGTAAGGTTTAAAAAGGAATAAAAGGAAAGTGGATAAGACATATCGGTTTAAAAACTTGAATAGAAATGTTCTGGTCCTTCAAGTTGCATACATTCCTATTCAGTGCTGCAACTGGACCTTGTCAGTGTGACGGTCGCAGCAAAATTAACATGCAAAGTGTCAAAAGGAAAAAAAGGGAATTTTGATAATGTAAAAAAGTTACAGCAAAAAGTAAAAGTGCATTTAGGAAAAACAAACCTCCACCATTATGGTTTTTAAACCAATGCAGGACCTGTAAAATAAATAAAGGTGGAACCTTACAAACGCCTAATGACCATAACTGTATTAACTGTTAAGTATTGCTCTGGCATTTGCAGAGGCGAAGTAAATCTAGCAGACAACGGCCCGGACGCACAACATCCAGTAATACGTACCCTCTACGATCACATCGATGTTAGCTTTTAATTTTACTATTCTTTTTTATAATTATTGCCTACATTTAGCTTATAATTAATGTCGTTTACTTTATATCACCTTTAATATTACACTGTTTTACTGTTAATACATTTTTTGAGCGTTTTTTGGAAGTCAAAATATCAATATTACAAATGATTGCATTATTCTACAGATCTACTTTTATGTTTTTTTGAATGTTTTATATTTTGTATTTGTATCTTGTATTTTTTCTTATGTTATGAAATTGAAATTTTTTCAAACCGAGCTAATTCTATGATCGAAATGTAACTGATTTGCAGGAAGTGAATTGCTTAGCTTTTCATCCACGTGAACAAATTATCATCTCGGGAGCGAATGATTTTACCGTCAAAATGTTCGATTTCTCGAAAAATGCCGTCAAAAGAGCCATGAAAACTATCTTTGTAAGCTTTTTTTTATGGAGTTTTATTGTTTCTTTTGTCTTTCATCACCCTAGTTTTATGTGGTCTGACACATGTTCATCATTATACATTGCGAGTAAGAGGCTGTACTGATGATTCCCAGCCCTGCCGGCATGTTATGCCTGGTATTTCCAGCTAAGAGATGAAACACAGACGGCATCTTAAGAATTTTTCTTGCACATAACACTTGGACTGATTCCTTACCTCCCTCTCTTTTATTTTATTCATATTATTTTTTTATAGGTTGATTTTGCTACTGTTGCTAAAGGCGCGCTCTTTTACCGCATTTTCTTTACTTTTCATTTTATTTAGAAAGCTTTTTTTTCGCTTCCAAGCATAATTACAGTTTTTAAGGAAGTGGAACCAATTCGCGCACTATCATTCCATCCAGCTGGTGAATTTCTGTTGGTAGCAACCAACCATCCGACTCTTCGTTTGTACAACATCGAAACGCAGCAGTGCTATGTTTGCTGTGTGCCCACCGATCAGCATCGCGATACTGTTATGGATGTTAGTTGTATTATCGTTTTTTTGGGAATCTTCGATTAATTTTTCGTGATTTTATTTTCTTGATAATCACCATTATTTTACGTTGTTCCTTTTTCTTA